CGTGGTAGGAGCGCATTTATGAATGTGTAGATGCGCCCAGTATGTACTGCTTGTTCCAGTAATTAAGACACTTAAAAAAAGTTAGGTACCAGTGTATGCTTTAACATCCAAGCAATGCAAAACAATATAGCTTCCCATGATTTTCTTCTCTAAAATGTAACTCCCACAATTAAAACCTTACTACCATTTAAAGTTTGAATATTTAACTTTCCTGGTCCTTTTATCTTCAACCCCAATGCACTTAGGTGTATTTTGGGATTCAGTCCTTAGTACCTTATATTTTTTTAAACTGTAGTGCATGGCATTCTACCTGGTTAAAAAAAAATCAGTTTTTTAATAAAACAATGCATCTTACTGCTGTAGCAAAAACTTATCCATATCTGCTGTATTTCTGAACCTAACAAATGGAGGAATACCACAGTATTTGCTTTCTGTGTGAAGAGGGTTGTAGTCTTAAACATAGTAATTGTGCCTTATTTTGTACACTTTTATGGCTAATATGTGCTACAAACTTTCAGGTACTTACATAAGTAGGAAATGTTTCAGTGGTGAGTAAGGTTCAAGAATTAGCACCTCTAAATTAGACACCATTCATTAGTTCTATTTTGGAGAATCAGTCAGAAAGAGAGATTATCCTCTTACTTTCCAAAATGTAGTTTCATTTTAAGGTCTATCTTAAAGATGTTACTAGACTGTTCTTATTTTAAATCGTCTTCCTTGAAAAGCTTTTGTTGTAACATTTTTCTTTAGATTTGTACTGAATGATATTTCTGTACTTTCTATAACAGAAAACATAAATGAACACAAGCACGGTTTGGAATAAAACTTGACTTTTTAAGAGGTGTTTTAATTTTGTTTAGTGCTGCTGATCTTAAAATGCAGTTTATTTTTTCCATCTGACTCTATGTACCCTTTCACTTCTGGTACATAAAGTATTTTCAGACTACTGATTTGTCAGATGATTAAGGGAATTCCTTTCTTGGACAGCCCAGGAACTCTACAAGAAACTCTGCTAAGTGCTGGCTTCAGAAAAGCTCCTAATACACTCACCTCTTTAGCCCAGATTACCAAATGAGTAATATCTGCAGATATTTGGAAATAATTTTTCTGTTTACTTGTTTTAAAGTTTAATAAATGGGCATTCTGTTAGTGATCCTTTATGTGAAAATCCTCATTACTGCAAATGAACAGAATGCATTTAACAACTGATTTAGCCATACTGGTGTGGAGATCCAGTACTGAACGATCACGAAGATTGAAATTCCACCTGGTTTCATCCAGAGCATGGTATGGACATGCTGAGACAGGTTATGGACATTTACAAGCTTCTCACAGAAGAGAAAATATTTCTGTGAGTTCTGAATTAAATTTAACAGCATCACCTATTTGCATGGAATTACCTTTACTTTGCAAGAAAATGGACAGTACTTGAAACTGAAATGTGTTTTGTTTCTTTCTGCTGACAAGTTGCAGTTTCAGACATCTGGAAAAAGGTACAATAGTACAAGTGTATTTTAACTGTTCAGCAGTCTCAATAATGTAAGGCTAACATTTTATTAACGAGCTGTTAACTAAGCTGGATGAAACTAGCTGGCTTCCAACTTTCTGAATTTTCAGATTAATAGTTAAGAAATCACTAACAGCACCACAGGCTGATGCATAACCAAATCCTTTGAACCACTGGCAGGGAAGTAAGATCATCTGAAGAAGAATGTCTCCGATTCCAAATATTCAGCTCATGAAATTTTATTGTTAAATAAGAACAATGAACACGTTCATTACATATGACACACAAGCAAACATGGGCATCGGGTACATTACATACTGTGGTAGCCTTAGCAGTACATCTTAGAATATGATTCATAGAAACATTCCATATTGCTTTGGTTGTCAGAACTAAGCCTCTCCTACATTTCTTCTTCTAATAAAAAACGAACTCTCATACTTGTGCAGAGAGCATAAATATCTGTGTGCAGCAATGCAGAATGCTGAGGATGGTCCACTGTTGCTTCAAAAACTGGATTCATCTCCTAGCTATGTATTTTCTGGATTTTCAATAACAAGCTTCTGTGTGGAATACATTTGACCAATGGTGACCTGAAATCAAATAAAAAATATTTTAGGAAAGACAAGGTTGGAGGGTCAACAGGCATAATATCAGCTTTGCAGGGAAGGTAAAAAAAGAATTGCTTAGTATAAAAGTGAAAAAGGGCAAGTTAATATATTTTCTACAGAAAAACATTTGGAATAACTTTGTTCAGCAGTGTAATCCCTGTTGTTGTCTCCAAAGACCTATTAGGTCCTATTGTAACGCTGTTCAAATAAGCACACAACACAGCTATTCAGCAAATACAAACTTAGTGTAGCTTTTCTTCAGACTATCAGCCAGCTGACAGCAGGGATAATATAGGGTTAAACACAAATACAAAGTGCATTTCTATTTTACCCTTTTTATACATTAGAAGCACTTACATCAAGCCCACATCATTTTCCAGAGATGATCAATCAAGTTTTGTGCCATGTACCTTGTAATTCGCTGATCAATGAACTTATTCAGTGACAACATTCCTACATATCTTTCCAGGCATGTACCAGGTTTTGGTTGTACTACGTACTATAGGCTTTTCTTATCTATGGCAGGTTGCACTGATTCTGCCCACCCCAGGATGTTCTTGACCAGATTCCAAATGTCTCATGCATTCTGGTGCAACTTCAGACTTGCAGGTTTTAACATACTGCTCTTGGCCTGTCTTATGACCTGTAACCCCAGCCAGCAAGAAATGATAGTTAATGCATTAAGCAGCTGCATATGTAAACTCCTGCAGTATTGACATTGCAAGGAATACAGACACACACACACACACACACACACACACACACACACACACACACACACACACTCTCATTATGATAACATTGTGAGTTACTAGGAAGGAAAAGAAAGCAACATATTTTAGAAGAATAGAAAGAAAGGTACAACAACGTTATTTTTTTTACATTGTGTAGGGGGAAGGGCTTTGTTTATTTACTTTTAAATAATCTCTTCCTACTAAAATAAGATGAAGGGAAGAGTCCTCCTATGCAATTTGTTCAGCA